TATTACTTAGGTCAGATTGCAAACATGTGTAAGTGATATAGTGGGGAAAATAACCCCGATTCAAAAAAGATCTAGTAGTTGCAGAAATTCTTAGTCATTCATTATGCCCCATTATGTTACATGAGCTCTTCTTTCCAAAAGTAGTTGTTTACCATCTTGAATTGCTTAAATTGAGCTTTATCCTGTACCTCCGCCCCCTATCACTCTGGATAACTGAGCCATATGGGCCTGGAAGGTACTAGTTTTGATGCTAGAGTAGAGAGAGGGAAACAGAATCAGTCAGGGATCCATCCCACTGTTTGACTGCAAATCAATGACCCCAATGAAAATGCAGGTGTGCAGTTGTCATTACAAATCATACTCAGACTCAGCTGTGATTCCTTCTGAGGTTGAACAGTTTGTCAGCACTTTACTACTGAGGCTCACATATGGCAAATGGCCACTCGGACAGTTACTGAAGAGTGCCTGGGGAATTACGAGTCCACGGGGAAGAGGGAAGAAAATTTCCAACGTAGAATACAACCTGCTCAGAGTTTTTATCATTTTAAGGGCAGAAAGGTAAGGTTGACTAATCAAATCACAGTTTAAAAAGGCAAAACAGAATTTTATATTAAAAAACTGCTTCTCGGAATGCAAATAACTGTTCCAATGAAGCTCGTCTTATTTCATACTAAAATTTTAAAAAATGTTTTCATGTTTTGTTCAATTTTAAACTTGTAAGCCAGTAGAGGGCATCCTCTCTCTTGCATAGGTTGTTACTCTGTCCTCTGCTGGTCTAAATGTATAAACCATGCAAATTAAAACAAACCAGATAGAGGTTGTAATTTCATCACTTTTGTTAATACATAAATAATAACAGTCCTTGCTTTTGATATAATTCTTTTCACGTCTTCTAGACGTCTCAAAGTGCTTCACAGAATACACTGTAAAGTGAATTGACTGTATATTTGGGGGTGAAACGCGGCAGCCAATTGCGCACAGCAATGTCACACAAACAGTCGTGGATTGAGTGGCCAAATTTATTATTGTTTTTCTCTTGAGGGATTATTATCAGGCATGTGAAGTAAAGAAACGTGCCTAAGGTTTCGCCTTGCTGGGTATTGAACTCAGGTCTCTCGCTTGCGAGGCGAGTGCTCTTACCACTGAGCTACAGGACTAATGGAGTTCTGCTGTATCTGCCTAAATTAATAAAAAAAAGTCCTCCCTCTCCTTCAAAAACAATATTTCAATCATATAAAAGTTCAGAATAAATAAAACTCACCTTGAAGAAATCAAACAGTGCCAAATAAATGAACTGTAATAAGAATTCAGTACTGTATTCCACATAGTAATTCTATTTTAACCGCATGTAAGAAAAAATAGTAAGCAGTGAATGATTAAAACATGTATGTGACTGAATCAATGAGATTGATTATATTGGAAATAAATAAACAAGTCATGAAGGATCCTTAAAGATCTCATGGTATTATTCGAAAAGAGAAGCGGGTTTCTCCCGTGTTTGAGCCAACAATCCCCCAAATAAAATTGATCGTTCATTTCATAGTTGTTAAGGAGACATTGCTACATGCAAATTGGCCTCTGCGTTTGCTGCAAAATACACAGTCATTACACTTTACAGTCTTCCTGACATGACAGGTGCTACATAAATGTAAGTTTGCACTGTATATTCTGTGAAGTGCTTTTCTGCCAATGTGTATCCCAACAGCGTCAAAGCTCAGCCTTTCAGAGTATCTAGGTAGAAGGTTAAACCTGTACAATGATAATAGCTCCATCACCTTAAACTGCCTATCGGGTGGTAAGAATATTTTCAATGTGGTTCACTCAATTTGAAAGTGAGGAAAATGCAAAGGAGATTAAGCAGCACGTTTCAAATCAAATCCTAGAAGTATAACCTCAGTCACCAACAACCAATGGATGCGGAAAAAAAATCTATTTCAGGTTACTGGTGCAATAGTAAAATAAACTGTAAATCCCAAAGTCATTAATTGTTGCAATCTCAATGTCCCTAAAGAGTAATGAAGACATCAGTATCGTTTCCCCTCACCTTATTGGGATTACAGTTAAATTGCAGCTTCTGGAAACATTAGTTTATGGTGTTCTCTGTTAAAATACAGACTATTCATTGCTTAGAACAGATACCTGACAGGTTAAGCAGAAAAAAATATTGTGTGTGTGCATGTGGTGGCAGGAGGTGGGGTGGGGGGAGTGAACGTGGACAGTCAGAGTGACATCTATTCAACTTGGAGAGAAAGGAATTCACAGGAGCCTGATCCTGTTCTTACTGTTTTCTACCCACAAAAACACACAGGATTTCCAGCAGGAGGTACTTCTGAGAAATGGAAATATTGCCTGATTTTCCTCTGTTTTAGCCCAAAAAGTGCTAGTGTCCCAACCTTCACCCTGGCTGAGATCAGCTAACCCAGCATTGACCGGCATTCAAACCGCCAACCCTTATGTGTTTTTTGTGGCTACGGTGCAGCACTGCTTTTGCCAAGGTCATAAAGGGATCTATCAATAAAATCAAACTGACAGGTTATGGATGAATTAAAGACAATGTGGTTTAAAATGCAATTGTCATAAACTGGATTTGAGACATTATTTGGGACTTTCAGTTTGCAAACTTCAGATGGTTCAATTTGAAAAACACAGAGAATCGAGAATCACCAAAGTTTGACTTCCAGCTTGTTAATATCATAATTTAGACCAAATTGTAATGCCTTACAACTGATTTTAAACTGCTGTTCGACTTTTTCATTGATGGAAAATTCCAGGAGAGAACAGATGAACTGTTGTTGTTAATCATACAGTTAAGTTGTGGGATAGAAGGGTGGATTTATAATACACGCGTTTGATGACAAGAAACATGGGCAAAAGGGGGCTGGTAGAAATTATAAACTGGGAAAACATTATTGCTTGGCTCATAAGGTGACATGAAGGTAAGGAGACGTTTTTCCACTTTACCGAGGGGATGATGTTACTAGGTACATCATGTACAGCATGCTTTCCCTGAATTAGTTGACATTTGGTGCCGGTTCTGCCAAGTGGGAAAGACTGTTGTAGGGAGTCATCCTGTGTATCTCTTGATGTATGAAGAAAGCATATCTGGCTCTGTTGTTGGAAATCCACAAGCTGAAATGTTCTTTGAGCAACAAATTGAACACAGAGAAAATGCTGCAACCCACATATGGTCACTTGCTCGATGGCTGTTTGTGGGACCAAGGCTGTGCACAATTGGCTGCCGCATTGCTCACAAAAAAAAACAGTCAACACCATTTTGCAGTATATCCTGTGAAGCGCTTTGAGACATCTATTATTATATGACCGCAAAATGTGCAAAATTTGGGGTTAGTCAAGGCCACCGTTAACTCTTTGTCATTTGACGTCAAAAGGCTGGAGACGTCAGTGGACCTGTACTCCTCGGGAGAGGAACACAGAAAAAGGAGGAGAAAAATGGGGGATTATATTTTTGGAAGAATGTTTTCTAATGGAGAGAGTACGAATGAAATTGTCTTGAGAAAGTGAGAGCAGCATTTAAGCTCTTGAGATCAAAGTGAAGGCTCTGGGTGTAAAAGTTTCCAAGTCTTCCTCCTCGCTGAACCCAAGTCCCACATGGTCCTGGAGACCAGGTTTCCGACCTCTATCTTCAATGCACAGATTGAAAGTCGTGGATATCAAATGAGTTAAACACTATTGCCAAAGCAAAAATCCTGCCATCCAGTGGCCAAGTGTAAAAAAGCAACAGGTTCCATAAAATTAAAGCCAGACTCCTAATAAATCTCTTCCCCGCTAAATTTCAAAATTAAAAGAGACGTTAATTTTGAGTAAATTGCATTTGTCCTCATCATGTCTTCCAGCCTCATCTACTTTTAAATTATTTGGTTGTCCTGGGCAAAATTCTATGTGGTCGTTCTGGTGAAGTGGAGTTTGGCAATAAGCCTTCAAATGAATATAAGGTTTACTGTAACCAGATTTAGTTGCTCTTTACTTGGCTTGGGCTGTGCTCCTGCTGATTGAAGCTTCAAAGCAAAAATGCCATTTATTCTGGAGTACTGCCATAAACCATCAACATTCTGTCAAGTGCATCAACTTCACATCACTTATACAATCCTTGTCAAATGAAAATGTTAACACATTGCAATGCACCTGCTCCCCTGAAAAAAAAGCCCTTTGTTACACTGACACCGTTCACTACTTTTTTTTCCCCCCCTCTTCTGCTCGTCGTGACTATAATAACTGTGATGTTATTCTTTATTTCATCTCAGTTGTAGGCCAGGCTTAGAGCTACGGTTGTTTTTTTATATATACAAAAAAAAATAACGGTTTAGTGATAGAATTTTACCCATGTCAGTTTCCCAACCAGAGGCAAGTGTTAAGAGACACACTTCTCTCCTTTAGTATTGGAATGTGATTCATCTGTTTTATAAGCTAACTTTATACTTTGGTGGTTGCATTGAAATTCTTGACGTTTACAGTTTCAAGCAATTTAATGTCAAAACTTCAGAACGGCGTCCAGATGTTACACGGTTTTCTTAAATAAACAATTGAAAATACAATTCAGTCATAAAACCCTACATTAACATGGGAAAGAACCCATACGTTAAACACTCGTTTACAATATTTTACAGAATGTTTTGGCATGCTTTTAATAATCCGAGGGCCACACGTATTGCTGTATTGCAACACACACACATTTGTTAGGTTTACTGGTTCCAATATCAATATGTGAATTGATTCAGTTTTCTAAAACTTTAAACCCTCTATTTCTTTGTTTCTCTTGGCGCTCTCCTGAATGATCCAATTTGAATGCCATGAAGTACAAATTCATTTTGTTGATTAACAGCAAGACCTTTGGCCATCAATGACACTAAGGGGTGATTTGTCGGTCGTCGGTAAATTTACGGCACAGTGCGGGTGTGTAACGTGAAATCCCATTATAAACTCACACCGCCAAGGTCCGTAAATTTACAGAACAGCAAAGAATACGATGTTCTCGCTCGACAAGGTCTGTAAATTTACCGACGACCGGAGAATCACCCCCACACGATCCTAAAAATCGAGTTCACTTTCCCCTCTCACAGCTGCAGTGAAATCAGCAACATCATGATTTTCTTCCTACAATTGCTGGCGGATTTGCTGAGCTGAAGTAAGTTGACTCGGTCATGTCATTCAAGGTACCGTGTGTGTCAGCGTTTTTAAATGATACCTACCACAAACCTTTTTCTCACAGGTGGTCTGAATTTGATTGTAGCTGGTCCTTGCAAGCAGATTTAATATTTCATAAGCACCGATCCATCTCATGCCTGTGTTATTGACACCACATGGAAGTCAGGAAATTGGTTCTTTCTGGGAACAGTTTGCAGAAATATGCAGGCTTCTTTCTCATGGGGTGCATTAACAGAGAGGCTTACGATTACTAGTAATGATCCTTCTCCAGATGTTAGTGGTCTTTTAACTCTATCTTCAACTTCGGCCTGAAAGACAAATTAGACAGGGTGGATGCTGAGCAGTGCACTAACTTTGCGCAATGTTTATGTGCCATTTAATGAATGCAATGTTCAGAAATATTTCTTCCCATTTCTCCAATGGCTTAATTGATAAATGCAACGTCCAGTGTAAAAATTAAGCCATACAGACCAGATGGTCATAGGTTTATTTCCCGTGTGTGCGCTGAGGAACTGCACTGAGCCAGTGCAGGAGTTAGGGTGTTACAATTGCTCTTTAAGCCACTGAGCAAGGAAAGAGTCAAATCTGCCCCGATGGCTGAAAGATGGATGCATGTGTGTGAATGTCAGGTGTGGACAGGATTCAGCTCTGCTATGATGCCCTCCACGCTCAAATTATTGGCGGCAATCGCTGCCTAAGCGCACACATGAAGAATAGCCAATTTACTGAGATACAAGAGGGTGTCTGGTGCCTGTGGCAATAGATCTCAGCAGCAATCTGCCATCCAGGAGAAGGTCTGGGCAGAAAAAGGCAATCCATGCTTCTTCCTTATTTGCTATACTGATGTGGCGTACATCATACATCATTTTAAAATATACTTGTTGTGAGACTGAACCGCAAATGCTTGGTCAGTACATTAAGTACGAACTAGATTGAACAAGTGCTTTAATATATTGACCTATTCCCTGCAGTGGAAATTCTGAACGTTAACTACGGCAATTAAACTGTAGGAACAAGAAGTCGTGGTGTAATCGATCACATCTGACTTGTAAGATATTAAATCTGTAACTGTGTGCCTGTTGTGATCAAAAATATGAATTTTGTAAATTTTAGCTCAGCTTAACATGAAGGAGAGAGGCTCTAATGCACAATCATTCAGCTCGTGCTTCCAGTATCAGAAAGAATATTGTAGGGAGTGATTTCTCTTGGCTGGGGTGTTACACTGGCAATGACACATTGTTTACTGAAACACCTAAGAGGTGTGCTATCCGTTTATATAATTCTATAGACTGTAAAGTACCAAAATAGGCCGTTCGGCCCAACTAATCTGTTCCAATGTTTATAATCCACATGAGCCACCACCCCTCCTAATCTCCTCTACCATACTGCTCGATTAACCTGGAAACTTGGCAACAGCAGTGATCACATTGCATCACCTGTCTGTCCGTTCTTGGCCTCAAAAATAAACTTGGTTTGATGTCTCGTTTTTTTGTTTAAAAAAAAATTAATGCTTTGATTCAGAGTTGTTTTGATGTTTCTAAATAAATCTCAATTTTCACCAAATCTACCCAGTTTTAAAAAAAATTCCACTCTGCCTGAAATATCCCCAAAATATGTTTCAGACGATAAGAAATGACTTTCCAGGTTCTTACCAATATCTGACTGATTCAGGTGTTCAGATGTTTAAAGGTGATGCCTGAAGTTGTAACAACAAAATATATATTGCGTTTCAGTATTTTATTATTAATTGTCAAGTACAATAATGATCTGCTAAGAGTACATATTTTATACTCATATAAAGTTATATTTTATATAACAAGTGGGTCTGCATTTACAGTGTAGTTTCCTAGGGCTCAGTTTTGTTCCTGCCATTGAAGCTTGGTTGAATTTAACCATTTTGCACTGTTAATATATTGTGTGCTCTGTGGTCAGTCAGTTGCACACAACTGCTGGAAATAAACCTTGGGGTTTGGCATATTTACAGCAACCATTTGCTTCATAGTTTACATTTCTGTTATAAATGCATGTCGGTGATTGCGCCAACATTCATAAATAGTAAATCTTTCGCAATATCCTGTAATGCTTCATGCTTCTCCAAAATCATTAAAAGTATAGCATTTTCACAACTTTTAAAAAAATTATTGAAAGCATGAAAAAACAAAAAAAAATGCAATTGTTACCACTGAGTAGTTTAATCATATAGAGCGGGTTTGTAACCTGGTCTGTGTTGAATTCACAATATTACAAGATTAGTTTGAATGAAGAAGGCTCATTTGCTTTTATCTCATCTTCCAAAATATCTACCCCCCCTTCTCCCGTCACGCTACTTTATAATGAGTCCCCTAGACTTTTCAAACAAATTCAGTGTCTTTGCCTCAACAACTCTTCCTGGCAACCTGTTCCAATTGTTAAATACCCTCTAGTTAAAGAAAAAACTTCTGGGTATCTGTCTTAACATTTCTTTTAGAGTTTGCAACTCTAAACCTGTGTCCTCTTGTTCTACTGCCTTGGTGCACTCTTAAATATTTACTTTTTCAATCCGTTTAAAATGTTATACACCTCTATGAGGTTCCCTCTGAGTCATCTTCTCTAAAGACTGAAGAGCCTGAGCTTGTCTAATTGTTGCTCATAGTTCATTCCTCCAACACGCTGAACATAAGAACATAAGAAATACTAGGCAAAAGACCAAAGTCCATCTAGTTTGCATTCCACCTTCCTGGTGGTTGCATGCACATATATCCAAAACTACCTATGTACTATATCCCACAATGTTATTTCCTAAAAGAAAACTATCTAATCTGTGTGTGAAAGAATCAACAGTTCCTGCTTCAACCGTCTCCCTAAGGAGCCTGTTCCACAGGTTCGCTATTCGCTCACTGAAATAGGTTTATGTAGATTCATTCTGAATTTACCCCCTTCAATCACAGGCCGTGTCCTCTGGTTCTACTATTCTGGACATGTTGAAACAACTTGTCATGATCTATATTGTCTAGCTCCTTTAGAAACTTAAAGACAGCAATAATCATGTCACTTCTCAATCTTCTCTTTTCCAGCATGAACATGCCCAAAAAGCATGGAAAAACAAAAAATCATTATTCATTAAGGTCACTGATTCATTAAACTCACACTGGGGGTTAGTTAATCTCCGCTGGAGCAAGAGAAGGGGGCATGACAATTGGACTATACGCTTCAGGGGAAAATCAGCAAGAGATTGCAATGCTGATCACTAGCCAGTGACTCTGCTGAAGGTTTATGTGTGGGGAGAACCAGGCTCATTGATGATGACCTGACAGTCAAATAGCTTGTCAACATTCGCTGTCAAGAATCGCGGATGAGTAATAACCTCATGGGTCAAGTTCCAGAAGGTACCTGTGGAATCACATCCCCAGTAAAAGGAAAAAGAGTGACAATAACAGCTTCAGGAGGGGACGGGAGGAAATTCAGGAGAAAAAAAACCTTCGTGATTGTTCCTCCAATGAGACAGAAAGTTACTCTGATTCATTAAACTCACCTTTCTCATACACTAATCAGAACACTGTTCAGTCTTTTTATACTGGATTAAGTGCTCTAAGGTTTAAGACTGGAAGAATTTTTTTTGAAGTCCAAGTAATGACTGGTATTACAAAATCGCAATCAGTGTGAAAGGATGCAGCCTGTTTGGACTGAAAAAAAATTAATGTGGTGACCACATGCATTCTCATCTTCCTACTTGAAGATTATGATGAAAGATGTCGTGCTAAGAAGTTATGAAGATACAGAGACCACATACCAGCATTTAATCAGCAAACACAGCTTCCCACATTCAATAAACACAAGGCCCTCTCCACTTAAAAAACTTTAGGCAATGGAACAAGTCCGGTGACCTTGACAACTACATCTGTACTTCTACGCATGAATTGCTGTTCATATATATCTAAATTCTACGGTTAAAATGTTTTGATTTAAGTTCAAATGTAGCTGAGAAAATATATGGAAGTGCTTAGTGAAAGAAGAAATAGATTACAGATGACTTGTAGGCTCATGATGGGCTGCAGGGGAAAGGAACCAGTTAAGTTTCAGAGATCAAATCTGCCACACGTATTATACTAAACCTAATTTCAGACTCCCTTAAAGTGGTCTTTGAATAAAAATGCTCTTGTAAAGTTCTTGTTGAAGACTGACTCAAACAAAATGAAAGATTGAGTAGACCTGGTGGACTTGGTCTGTTCTCTTGTCATCTTTAATATTTAACATAATATCTCCAAGTTATGATAGGGCCTAAAGGAGAGGAGGGGGGAATAATAGAAAATATTCTCTTTTGCTTGTTTGTTAGCACAGTTAACAAACATGTGTAAATTAGTGTCATTTTGCATTAGTGTCATTTTGTTTTGTTTTTTTGGTCAGCCAGGTGTCTGACATATGCAGAAACCCATCAAAATGCTTAAGAATATCCAAACCAAATAGAGTTCCACACATCCCGGATACAAATCGAAATTCCAGAGCTGTGTATTGGAATGGAATGCACACTCTCTCCCTGGAGGGATGCATCCTGCTTACCTAATTCCAGAAAGTATTAGACGTAGTTTGACAAGAGCCAAGGCTTTGGGGACCCCAGAGTGCGCGTTGGGGTACTGCTGGAATCTAACCAGCTAAAACCACAGAGCTTGCCATTGATAGTACTGCCCAGCAAGCTTTCCCACAACTTGTCCAGCTACAGTGTTCTTATTCGGTGACCATGCTGGAAGAAGCAGATGTGTTGTGTGAGAAACGGATTGTCATTGAGAACTGAGAGCTGTGACGCCCCTACCGTTTAACAGCTAAAAATAGTTATGTAGAAATAACAGCAAAGAAGCCCACACAGCCTCTTGTGATGCCACCTCCCCCACTGGAGGTAATTACTTTAATCTCAATCCCCTTTTCTCTCCCAATATCCTCTTATATTGTTCCTATTGAATTGGTATTTAATTCCCTTTAAATGTTGTTATGGTCCCAGCCTAAATAGATATGTGTGGGAAAGATTTCCATGTTCTAACAACCTTTTGCATTCATTTGAATTATTTTACGAAACAAACATCTTTAATCACTAAGAAAAAAAGACTAGATTAAGAAAACAATAAAAATGGTTATGTTACTTTTAGCTACAGATACATCCCCTTTTTAGAATTCTCCCATTGTGTTATTTTGTTGCTCAAAACACGATGTGTACTGCACAATGAATTCAAATTTGAATTCATTGTGCAGTACACATCGTGTTCTGTAGAATTAATATATTTGACAATTTCAAATGTATTACGCAGCAAAATAGACTCCTGTGTTAGCCGTATGAACT